GCACCCGCGTGCGGCAGAGCGGAACATTACGATTTTCTTGCCCGTCTCCCGTGAAATAGTGGTGGCTCGACGAGCTTGCCTCAGCTTTACAAGAGTTCACAGGTTTCACCAGAGTGAGACTTGTAAACCGGAAATAGTGAAGCAGGAAAAGTGCAAAATACCCCCTCCCCGTCCACGAATTGCGCAGGAGTTTTTATTAGAACTGATAGGCAGAATAATCTGTGGAAGAACGCTGGAAATGGGGCGTGGTCCACCATTTCGTTACCAACTTTCGATTCGCAGAGGATCAATGCGAACTGATTCATACATACCTTCAACACATGTCCTTGTGAGAAACCAGCGCCACATATCTGGCATTGGTAGGGACGCTCGCCAGTGTGTTTTCGGAGATGCTCGGCAATCTTCGATGGATACTTAATTTCTTTCATACATGGCCGACAATAGAATGTTTGCGCTGGTTTCCGCCGAACCATTCGATATTTCCGTATAGAGCTACGCTCATAATTTGGATCATCTTGATCCTGCAAAAAACGCTCTATATGAAATTGCACCTTATTCTTGTTTAAAGGTAGGTTAAGCTTGCCTTGGTAACTTCCACGTATTCGTATTGTTCCATATGATCTCCCTGGACATCAATAATGCGGTCCTTAAAATAGCGATCCATTAAAGAAACTGTAAAGCACGGTTCAGAGCTCGAGATGACGCGCTGTAACGCGCGTCGGCGCTCTACAATTGCAACAGCGCTCCAATCCTCTAGAGGCGGAGGTGGATGCAGTGCCAATCGATACCAAAGCGCGCAGTTAGGCAACGTGTACCCTCCTGTCCCCTCATATTCTCCCACTACACAAGCGGCCAGCGCCGATCGTTTCCCGTTTGCGACAGTATTCACGTCTACAGCACCGTAGCGCGTCAACTCACGTCGCAGCGCGTCGACTCGACTCATCGCGAAGTCTGAACGCTGAAGAAGAGGTAAATAGTGAAAAAAGAAAACGAAATAATCTCAGCTACCTCTGCAGCCTCAAGCTCCTCAACCGTCGTGTGAATGGGGCTTTCGTAGCCCATATAACTCATACCAGATGTACTGACGGCGGACGCCGCCTCTTCAAACATCCTGCAACTGTGATTTCCTTGAACTCAGAAAAAGAGCTCAGAGCCCCACGAATTCAAATCAGAAGATTAGCAACTTATCAGAACTCTTTGAAAAAGCGTGACTTGCTGAAAACAAATAGCAATTCAACGGCAAGAACCGATTTCGAATGGATATCAAATGCGTAGGATAAACTTTTATCATATGTAATAATTCCTACAAAACCAGGAAATTCTTAACAAGATCAAAATAACAAATCTAATAGAACTAAAGTCTTCAAGATATTTCAACGAATCGTCAACAGTTCGAACAGAATAAAGCCTAAAAAATGCCCGTAATTCGATAATCACCTAAAGAGATGAGTTACAACAAAACATAGGAAGTTAGATATGCACACGTGTGCAAGCAAAATCATTGCCTACGACCCAAAATTGACGGTCGCGGAGGTTTTTTCCTCAAAATGTTCACCTCACGATTCCTTGTCCATTGGACTGCTGGCACTGCCAACGTTTACCTGAAAAGTTCCGGTTGAAAAGGAAAAGTGATATTCTACAAAACTCACTGAAAACCGTACTTCATGTTGGTGAAATCCCGACATGTCCTCTCTCACATGATGCACCGCTTCTTCGGTATCACCGTGGAAGTCCTTCTTCTTCATCCGAGGAACATCAACAACTTCGGATGGGCCTGGATCAATTTCATTGTCTGATGGTATAAACTGAATGACTTTGCTGTCGTTGCTCAAGTACGGACCGATTAAATCGGGATCCGACACTCCATCTGCCATTAACTGAAAAAAGCTCGAAAAATGACAAAAATCACAACGAACTTTTGTAACAGAAACTAGTCTTCAATACCTCCTCTAGTGCAGCTTCCTCATTTTCTTCAACAAATTCACCCTGCATGAATGTGTGCTGTTCGACCTCCGGTTCAAGCATCATGCCATCTTCGGACACATGGACCAGCATATTTGTTGTTGGATCCACCAGAATCTGGAGAAAGAAAATGGTATGAGCCTTGTTACGTCCCTTTAAATGATCTGCAAACCTGGTCAGATGGACTGTATTCACATGATGAGTTTTCTTGCTGTTCAAGACGTAGTTCTCGATCTGCTTCCTTTTCAGCTTCGGCAATTTCCTTTGAATAAATAGATACAATAAGGAAGATCAAATGAGAACAGCATACTCCTGGTCCTCTCAAAACATCATGAACTCTACGAGGCTATCCCTGAGGTTTGAATAGCTTCCACAAAAGCGACAAAGCCGAACGTCACTTACACACGGTACCTCGGAGAAGGATAGGGCGCGATTGCGTAATTCATTTAGCGATGGCTGCACGTATTGTGAGATATTTTCGTTTTGGAACAGTTGTAATCAGCACAGTACATTTTTCTTAAATGGAAACACCACGAGGAAAGCATCATAGGCCATGCTCAGGGAAAATACACAGCCACGCCTACTCCACCTTCAAGATAAGAGGCTCTTAATATCGCCCCAGCGATAACGCGCCGAAAGTCGGCGCTGTATCGCGCCAGTTTTAGGGCACGTCCTAGCATTTTGCCGATGAATGGTAAACAACAGGACAGGGCAAGAAGCAGCGATTTGAGAGCATGGAAAACATGGATAGCTGAAAGCCATACTTGAAGAATAGGAGGGATATTTTTCCGAGAAATGTGCTGGCTCCATGGTAAATGATTTGTCAGGAACTGAGATTTTGCTTTGAGATTCAATGACTGTATGTACCACTGTGCGCTCCGGCACTACCATTGAAGGTAAAGGCTGACAAAGAGTTAGCTTATCGTCTTACAGTGGTGAAATCGCTTATCAACAATGTCCAGTCGCTAGCCGCACCATCCCAGCGACATCGCTCGGCACACGTCGCGTACGCACCCCCAATGAGTCTCTCTCCTCGATAGGGTGCAGACTTTGCTAACGTCTCATCTTCGTAAAGCCCCAGAAGTTTTGAACTGTGAACTCTCGCAAGTCGCCGACTACCAAAAGTACGTTCGCGGCTTGAGCGGTTCAGTCGAACAAGTAGAACGAGTCACAACGTAGAACGCTCCACGCGTGGTAATTGAACCGCTGCAACATCTAATTCCATCACACTGAATTTCTTCATGCATCCTTGCTCCTTCAGACTTCACATCTAACAATGAGATTAACCTTCGGCTAGTCGCAAACAAATCGTTGAAAGGTGTTTCTTCTTAATCCAACTGAATAGGATGTTGCAGTGGTCCAATAACCAGCGACTGATTGCTCGAGTCGCGAAGTATAAAAGCGTTCTGACCCGGCTGTTTCTACCCAACTAACCACTTCAGCAACCCAAGTTCCAATGCAGTCCACCCGATAGGAAGCAATCGTTCGAGAAAGGAGCTGCCGTATAAGCCAGGATATAAGGTTGAAAAGAAGCGGTATAGGGCTCATTGTAACTGCTAGCTTTGGCAAGGTTGGCGACGAGTAGACAACTCGAGAAAAACGGAAATCAGTAGTTTGAGCGCAAAATACGCATGCATATAAAGGCACAACTTATATAAAGGCTTTGAAATGTGAAAATTAGAGACCACAACTTGGAATCGAAAACATGAAACACGCCTTACCTGTGGATTAAATATAGGTTTGAATAAAAGTCCATGTTCTCTCTGACGATGAAGCATCAAATACTGTCGACGACTGAACATTCGGAAGCAACCTAAAGTCACTCTCATTGATCTTACGAGCAGTCACTGCTGTGTTAGCAAAGGGACATAGAAAGGAGAAGAACAAAATACAGCAAGCAAAACCTTGAAAGTAGGCTGTACGCTTACTTACGAAATGGATCGCTGCTATGCGTTCGATAGGCAGGCATGCAGCTCAGAAGAGGACAATTTCATTTTCCGAAAAAACAGTAAGTGAAGTTGGAGGATTGTGGTAGCTGCATGTCGTTTCGGGCTCCACCCGTTATCCACAACCGGTAAAGCACCGAGAACATATAGGATCGCCCTAGGATGCAGAAGGCGGACAAAGGTGGGGTAATCAAAAAAGTAAAGTTGAACTTTCACGCCTGTGTTGATGGCAGCTTCCTCAGCGTGGCCGTTATTGTCTGTCTTGCGCGTGACGCAGGTAGTAATAGCCCACAATGATCTGAATGACACAAGTCGCGCGTTTCTGGCGCCTTTACCTTGCGCTTTAGAGTAACGAATGTGTTACACTTCTGCGAGCGGTGGGTACTGGCGGCCAAATGCGCAGAGCCATCTACTTATTACTTGGCCGCGGGACAAGTCTTAAACCGACTCTGGTAAAGTCATAAAAGCGTCAGAAAAATATTCACCTGGAACTGTGCATTCATATCTCTTTGCGCCTGCATGCACTACTCTTTCATGTTCGTTTCTCGTCGAGAGGCTTACAAATCTCTTTCCACACTCCCAAGTGCAGGCATACGGTCTTTCTCCTTGCT